GGGAAAGGGAAAGGGAAAGGGAAAGGGAAAGGGAAGGAAAAAGGGGAGATTTTAAGACCTTGTCATTCAAGAAATGCAAAATCTGTAACAGTTGTACAGTGTACTGTATTACCTTCAACTCTGTGGTGCAGGAATATACTTTTGCCTTCTGGTCAAATAGAGGGTAGTTAGGTTTCCAAAACAAAGCTTGTAATTTTGATGCAGTGAATCTAAAATATTTAGAACTTTCAAAATACTGAAGATCACTGAAAAGCTGAAGGAAAATGTGAAAAAACACAGACTTCCAAATGAGATTCTCAGCAGCGTTTTGGTCAGTAATAGTTGAGTTACTATTTAAGATTCTACCTTTAGATCTGCGATTCAAAATTAATTTAGGCTGCATATCTTTCTGTTATTGTAGATGACATTATGAACAGTATTTTTGCTTCAATTTTTATTCTATAGAAGTGTAATGATGCATCACTTCATTATGGCATTGTTTAGCCTATACTTTATTCCCTTCATTTGAAAGTTACCACAATTTCTCCTTTGATTACTTAATTTGTTTTTTGTTTGCCAGCCTGTAATAGAAAAGCATAATAGAGCTTGCAGACATCCTTTTACTTCATATGGAAAACCACAATACATCTGGTGTAATTAGTGCTGGAGATGCACTACTTTTCTTTCTACTTCTTATTTACTGTTTTGTACTATGATGTTTTAAAGTCTCTGAACCTTAGTTTTTACTTCATTAAAACTGGAAAGAATGTTCAGCAATATCAATTCCGTACTTTTTACAGAGATCTACAGGCGAAATCAAATAATCAGACTAATTTGAGTTATAAGTACTGATTTTCCTGGGTTTTTTGTTGGGTAAGTCATAATAACCTTATTATGCTGGTTTTAATTGATATATCATTATTGCAGTAGTCAATTGTAAAGAAAGGAGAGATAGTGAACTTCGCAAAATGACAACTGTTAAATATTACTTTATTATTATTATTATTATTATTATTATTATACAAGTGATACTGCAAAAGTTTCCCCTGATCCTCTTGCGCATAGATGGCATCTGGTGATGATAACAAAGTGTCAGACATGGTATAAATGACAAAAATAAATATTTTCCCATGATTTTTCCCGGCTTCAGGCTTGGTTCACTTTCCCTCTCCTTCAGCTATTGACAGCAAAAAGGAGTAACCTCAGTGTTCATGTAGCTGCAGAACAGATAGACAGATTTACTATGGTTAGTACTAAAGTGGGAAAAGGGTGCCAGGTCATGAGAGGAGAGAATTCAGGCAGGGAATTGGATTGTAAGAAACAAGCATACCGGTAATGTTAATAAAGACTTCTTGTGAAGAGGGAAAGGATTTGTAAGGAGGAGGAGAAAAAAGACTGGGAGTATGAGGACAGGAAAGATGACTGGAAGAAAAATGCGATGTGAGGAGGGGAAGCTTATTAAAGATGTGAAGCATTTTAATTCAGTTTCAGTCATATCTTATCAGTCATATCTCATTCTTATATGGTATGCCAACCCACCTCTCTTTTTATCCTCTTTACTGCTAATATGAATTTATCATGATATTTGTCTCTTCTAATGCCATGCTCTATCAAAAACTCCTAACCTCACCCATTGTCTTATCACTTTATTTCTTTGAGATAAATGAAGAGAAAGTTGGTCTAATCATTACTATTGTTATCATTCCTACTTTGACAACAAATAGGACCAATTCACATTTGCACTTGGTATTCATTTATATCAGAAGCCCACAGAGGCTGCATCATACAAATTTAATTGGATCTCACAGAATCACAGAATCAATGAGGTCACCCTGCAGCCTTCTTTTCTCCAGGCTGAACAAGCCCAGCTCCCTCAGCCTGTCTTCATAGGGGAGGTGCTCCAGTCCCTGATCATCCTAGTGGCCCTCCTCTGGACCATTTCCAACAGCTCCCTGTCTTTTCTGTACTGGGGGCTCCACACTTGGACGCAGCATTCCAGATGGGCCCTCACAAGAGCAGAGGAGAGGGCAGCAATCACCTCCCTGTCCCTGATGGCTACCCCTCTTCTGGTGGAGCCCAGGATACCATTTGCTTTCCAAGCTGCAAGGACACACTGCTGGCTCATGTTAAGTTTTTCATCTAGCAAGACCCCCAGGTCCTTGTCTGCAGGGCTGCTCTCAAGGACCGCTCCTTCCAGTCTGTGCGGATGCCTGGGATTCCTTTGGCCCAAGTGCAAAACTTTGCACTTTGCCTCATCAGGTTCACCTGGGTCCACCTTTCCAGCCCCTCAAGGTCCCTCTGAATGCCATCCCTTCCTTCCACCATGTTGACCGCACCACTCAGCTTGGTGTCGTCAGCAAACTTGCTGAGGGTGCACTCGATTCCGTTATCGATGTTACTGATAAAGATGTTGAAGAGCACTGGTCCCAACACAGACCCCTGGGGGACGCTGCTCGTTACCGGCCTCCACCTGGACACAGAGCCACTGATGACCACCCTCTGTCTGCGGCCTTTCAACCAATAGGGATGCAGGGCTCAGGGATATGAGAAGTATTGGAATCCTGGCCGCCAGTGAAGACTGAGGCGAAGAACTCATTCAGTACCTCAGCCTTCTCTTTGTCTGTTGAAGCGAGTTCTCCTTTTACATTTACCAAAGGAGGCACACTTGTTTTGACCTGTCTTTTCTGGCCAATGTACCTGTAGAAAGTCTTCATATTGTTTTTCACGTCCCTCGCCAAGTTCAGTTCCGCCTGCACCTTGGCTTTCCTGATCCCATGTCTGCAAGTCTGGACAGCATCCCTGTATTCTTCCCAGGTGAAACGCCCAATGACATCTCCTGTACTGCAGTGTTATAAAAGGCGTTGTCCTCCTCTGACAGTAATGAAATTTTGAAAGACTTTTCCAGTGTTTGCTATTTGTGTCTGATAAACGTTTCAGTATGCAAAATGATTGCAGAATCATCTCTCCAACTTACATAAAATACTATTGGATTTTTCCATCAGGAAAGCAGAAATTTAGGATCACTGTTTCATCTCTCTGTCTACCTTTTTTTCTTTTTTTCCTTTTTTTTTCCAGATATTCAACTGCCAAAGGAAGATGAGATTGCAGTTCCTGTGACTTCCAGCTCCCCAGTTAAGAACACTGGAGACAATACTGATCATGCCATTGAACAGGAAGAGAAGATGAAAGAGGAACATTTAACCATCTCAGAACTGGTATACAATCCCAGTGCCAGCTTGCTGCCCACCCCAGTTGATGACGAGATTGACATGCTCTTTGATACATGTCCAAGAGCAGAGAATGAGAAAGATGATACAGATTCATTTGAGGAACTGGAAGCAGATGAAAATGCTTTTATGATTGCAGAAGAAGAAGAGCTGAAAGAAGCTCGAAGAGCGCTTAGTTGGAGCTATGACTTTCTAGTGGGCAACATAGAGGTGAATGCTTTTGTGAAGAGTTTCTCCAGACTTCTCCTTGTAGGCCTTGGACTGTTGTTGCTTGTGTTTCCTCTTCTCCTTGTTCTCTTGGAGTCAGACCTTCAGATCTCTTTTCTCCACGAAATCCGTCAGACACCAGAGTTTCAGCAATTTCATATTGAATATTACTGCCCACTTAGGCAGTGGGTGGCTTGCAAAATAAACTTCATTTGTGATATGCTGGGCAGCTTTTAAATTTTTAAGAAATAATCATACTACTAAGGGCTATATTCAAAATTTCAGTTTGTGACAGCTTTCCATAACACCCCTGGGGCCATCAGTAGGTAGCTGTCTTCGTATTCATTTACTATCACACTTTTTAGGATCTTAAGTTTCCATTGCCCACTTAAATTGCTCCTTTAGTTACAGGCTTATACATTCACCTTTCAGTAACTTAAAAGAACCTTTTGATTGCATTCATTTTTTCTGCTCACTTATTACATCATACAAGATGGAGTAATTATAAGTTAATATCACCCTTAATTGTAGAATCCATTACATTAAATATAATGAAACTGAAAGAAAAACCTTTTTGAATATACTCCTTAGTGCAGCAATCTCTTCTAACCAATGCCTATGCCTATACAAGCAATGTTTATGCTGGGTTTTTGGTTTTGATTTTTTTTTTTTTTTTTTTCTGTTTGTTTTTTTACAATTTTATGTGTTTAAAATATTTTGGTAAATTTTTAGCAAAAGATAACTTCTGATGTTATTTAAATGTACAGATTAGTAAGAGTAATGCACAAGAACATGAAGTTTATTTTTAATGTTTTAGCAATGATTTGTTTTTGAACTACGGCTGGAGAATGAATGAGATTGAAATAGCTCTATAGGAGAGACAGCAGTTTGGGAAACACATAGAAAGTTCACTCAGGTTCAGTAGGGGCTGCCTGGGGGAGATTAAACGATGCCAAGTTTTCAGAAGAATTTCTGAAAGGCATCGTTGTAAAGCTTAGGAGGAGAGCAGAATTGAAAATAATGATCCTTCCTGTTATGTCAGTTTGTCTTACGATTTATCAGTGCTTTAGAAAGTCTCTATATGATAGTCCAAGTATGTTTTGGAAGAGAGTGAGTCTTCAGTCTAAATGTAGATTATTGTACATAACATGGAAGAAGACAATAGTAAGTAGGGGAAAAAAGAAAAAAAAAAAAAGAAAAACAGCCAAAACCCTACCTAAATCAGTAGATGTGTGACCTACTTTTAAAAATGATAGAGAAGAAACATATATGCATTTTTAAAAGCAAAGCTTTAGACTGTACAGTTGACCTGAAAGTATTCTACTGACTCACAGTTAAAGGATTAAATGCTTTATGAGATGCAACTTTATCCTTGATGCCCTCTATTACTAATCTCTGAGACAACATATTTTCTGTGTGTACTGATATGCTTCCTTTTACATATAGCAGCATACCTACCCTCTTTCCCTATTAGTATAAGCCCAGTTGCAGGACTTAATGCTGTTTCATGTAAGATGAATTTGTATATCTAGTTATTCCAGTATTGCTTAGAGAACATACTTCAGTAAAATCTTGTCAATCACTGAGAGCATCTGAAGGCCCTCAGATGTAGCAGAGAGGTTCTATCTAAGAAGAGAAAGCTTTTACTGTTTTTATTTCCCCTGATTGCAGAGCAGATGTATTTCATCTTTAAAGTTGAGGGAACTCTGATTTCAACCTCAGAGTCTTTCTCTTGCTTAGAGATTTACAAACAGAAGGCATACGTGAGACTGTTTTATTAAGATATACATTTTAATATATTGCAATCACAGCTCTTAATTCCTACCAAATAAACTCCTGTATTTTTGATGTCAGAGAATTGGCTTGGCTTTCTCATGTAAGCCTTTACAAGTGTCTAGTTTGAAAGTGGCGATTTCCTTCCAAAATTTCTCCTTTCCTTTCTAAACTTCTCCAGTTTTTAAAGGATTAGACAGTTACAGGATTCAGGAATTCCTTTTCTCAGTGGAAAGCTTTCTGACTGCTATTAATTTCTCAAGCAACAAAGGCTAAAGTGAACTGCCTTTTTCTCTTGATTTCTTCCCTGACAATCTGTTCCACAGAAGAATCATTATTGATTAGTTACGTGATAAGGATTTCATCCTGTGCTATTGTAGCTAAATGATCCTTTCCTATGAGGTATAATAATCATTCAGCCTAGTAGAAATGGAGAGTAAACTAAAGTAGATATTGGGTCTTAGCAGGAAATAATTTATTGATGCTGTTTTGAAAAAACGGTGTCAGAAAAGGTGTTGTGTGTGGTAAAAACTGTGAAAGCTGGTGTCCTGCTGGGCTACAGAGACAAGATTCCATGCAGGCTCCTGTTTAAGTCTGACAATTGCATTTAAACAAAAAATAAATAAAATCTTATGCTCTAAAATATAATCTTGTCCCTGTAAACTATAGCACACAACAAGTGGGAGTATTGTTTTGCTTGATTTAACTCTATCAGAAAATGATCGAGTTGCATGAGAAAGTAATCTCAGAGAATGTGCAGTGTAGTGAGGTCTTATGTAGGGTTAAACGCGAAAGTATACAGGCACATGTACTGACCTTTGCCACCTCTGTGCATACATCCAGCCCTGGCCTTCTAAAAATCTTCCTTTTCTTTCTATTATTCTCTAGACCATCAGCATAACTCAAATGAAAGTCACAAGAGTCTTCTAACGTTAAAGGCCAGGAACACCTAATGTGCTCAGAAGCATATAGTGGGGATACTCAGACAGAGTAGCAGTATAGTATTTAGTTGGTGAGGATGACAGTTGGATCACAGAGTATCTATAGGTACGGTATTGTGCATTTCTGTCTGTGCTTGGGTTATATTGTAAAATGTTATGTACTTGAAATCTATTTTGTGGTTTGTCTAACATTTATAAACACAACTCTGGGAAGAATTAAATATGGTTTTATTTCATTGGAGACTGGGGGGATAATATATCTGTAACTCGAGCCTTATCTTTGTACAGTGAATTTCACATTTCTATGTCAACATCCTGATTGTTTTGTATGTTGATATGATGGCAGGAATCCCTAATAAAAATACACTGGAGAAAAACTTTCTGCAGTTATGACAGTTTTTATGATGAAAGGTGTTTCGCCTAAAACACTCTTTGTTGAGAATTATTTGGTGTAAGAAATAGTACCATTTTTTTAGTACTGTAACAAATTCCTTCCTTACATGTATTTTTTTCACCCACTAGCTACAGAAACACTGAGAAATTGATGGCGTTTAAGTCATTAGCAACGTGGCTTCTAATGCACTAAGCATAGACCTGATGGTTTGCTCAGTTACCATGTCAGTGCTAGTTATAGATTTGAGTGTCCACCAAATAAAATTAGTATGTAGAGAATGTAAATTGAAGAGTCTGGTTTTAAAATTGGGCCCTGGCTATAGACATACATGGCTGCAATCTTCTGGTGGGCAAATCTGACAAGAGCATTATGCAAACAAATCTGTGCAGCTTTTGTGTGGAGCTTGCTTACACTAAGCGATTTTCTAGATCAGATATCACGGAAGTACCTGATAAAAAGTATAGTCTGCATGGGAGCAACACCTAAGAGATGTGAGCAACAAGAAAGCTATTTTGAGAAGCTAAATCAGAACCTGAGGCAATTTTTTGAACACATAAAAAATTTAGACACAGACATGTCTGTGCTCTATATAAAGCACCAAAATTTAAGGGGAATCTCAGGTGATTTGAAATGCAGAGAGCAAAGACAGACCTATTTACTCTGTGGGATATGGGTTATAACAATACTTTCAAGAGAAGTTGCTTTCCTGCTTTAACCTATGAAAAGCACAGGATATCTACCTGTTCATGTGCTTGTTTGGATTCTAAGTCCATAGAACAATTTATGAAAAAGGCTCATGTAGTTAGGGCAGAAATTCAGCAGTTGCCATAAACTCATCACATTTCAGTCTCTTGTAGTTTGAGACTAAAATTTACATTTTCTATTAAATTACAAGTCGCTGAAGTGTCGTGGCAGTTCTACGTTGGAAAAAATCTGGCTGCATACATTGGAGGTTAATGGTTAAGGCAGATAACTGTTAGCATCCTAGAGCTGGTCAGACATTTTGAAGCTGACTTGCTTGTGGTTACTCTCTTTGAAGGTAGATTCTTGCTGCATCTCAGCCAGATGTTGACTCACTGCAACAGCTCCATCTTATGCTGTTACAAATGTTCAGTTTCTCCTTGTGGTTTAACACAACTGGCAGCTAAAACCACCACTGTGGCATTCTCTTACTACTCCTTACCTGAATAGAAGGAGAAAACATGAAGAAGGCATTAGACAACAACAAAGAGTTTGCCCATCAATTACTTCCAGAGGCTGAATAGTCTCAGAATAGGGAGTTCAATGTATGCAATTTATTAGCTACTGACAGTACTCTAGACAAGTGAGAACTAAAAGCAAATAAAAACACCTTCCCCCTCCCTTCTCTTCTGCCTCCCGGACCTAAACTGTACAAGCGAGCTGTAGTCCACCTGTAATACTTGTCTCTGGTGCTCTGTAAGGGTCACAGTGGTCACTTCCTTCTCTGCTCCATGTTGGTCCGTCCCATGGAATGCCGTTCTTACTGAGCTCTTCCTCAGCAGCCTTTCCATCCACAGCCTGCAGCTCTCCGAGCATGGCTCTGCATGAGCAGCAGCTCCCCCAGCCCTCTTCCTTCTTTCCCTTTTCCTCTCTCCCAGCTGCTCTTGCACAGCAGTTTATTTCTTAAATTTGCTCTCCCAGAGCACACCCAGCATGAATCACAGCTCAGCTCTGGCAATGGTGTGTCCCATTGGAGCAGGTGGAGCTGTGATCTGACATGGAGCAATTTTGGGCTCTGCTTACTGGGGCCCCCCTGCAAGGCTCCAATTACAAAACCTTGCCGTGTAAGCCCAACACAGTCCTCTATGTGTCTTGTAGTTCTATCCTAGAAATAATGGACATGCTGTCTCTTTGAAGTAGCGTTTAACGATGTAACAAGAATTAAAAACTTCAGCATGACTTATACCATAAAAGTTTTTCTCTGACAGTCAACCACAGCCCAACGCTTTTGCATTGCAGTGAAGAAGAGGAAGACATTAATCTAATTTCTATTTTGTAATCACGCAGTGGTGGAGAGAAAAAAAAAAAAAGTTTTTTTTAAAAAGAAGTGAAACGTAAGCATGAAACATGACCTACCATATTTTTTTTTCTGATATCACCTGTGTTGGTTTTAGTTATCCTTTGAATTTCAATGCAGACCTCATTAAATGGCAGTTTCTATGTCTCAGAGTTTTAGAATCTTCAACTGTTGTGACAAATACATACCAACTAGCTATTGGTCAGTCATAAAAGGTGGAGATAAAAGGTGAGAAGGACCCCATAAGTGAAAGTAAAAAGATAAGAAGACTTCACAGTGACTGAGAATAAGGGGGGTGAAGGGCAATAGTTAGAGATAGTTTATAGAAGCGAGAATGCAGAGCTTGTTAGAAAGTAAGAGATGGCAGACACTGGCTCTGAGATAGCGAGGGGGATGAAGGCCATACTATTAAGGTTTGAGAACAGCCCGAGACATTTAGCAGGGACGTGATTATGTGTCCACAGGGCAAGAAGAAACTGCTTTAGGGGGATGCCCCCCTGAAAGGCCAGGAGTTTACAGTGAGAAAGGTAAGGAGCCTTTGCGAGAAAAACAACAAATCTTCATCCCACGACCCACTACACATGTGCAAGAGGGGAGGCTCTGCGTGCTAACGAACTCTCAGGGGAGTAATGAATATGTATCTGAATTCTGGGAAAACTGTTGATTATGTATTTGTTTGGCCTACATCTGTAGCACGATTTTTCCTGACGGTGGGCAAGTCAGGTGGATCTATCCCCCTTGCACCCAGTGTCCGTGTAGCACTGAATAAACCATACCTGCTTTGCAATCTTACTTGGGTTACAGAGTTTGATTCCGCATGTCAGAGGGAATATCACAGTTTGTTTAAGTGGACCAGAAATTGAGGTAAAATAGGTTATATTTCTTTGATTGTAGAATAATTAATTATATTGACTGAATAGGACACACAATGCTGTAGAGAGCTGTATACATAAGAACAGGGAAGCCTCTCGATTAGAACCTTAGATATTTTATTAACAATCTGTGTTGAAGATATATATTACATACAGTAACTCCTGATAAGGTTTTCCTTTAAAAAAAAGGCAAGGGAAAGCAAGGGAAGGCAAGGCAGGAGAAGGCAAGGCAGGGGAAAGCAAGGCAGGGGAAAGCAGGGCAGGGGAAGGCAGGGCAGGGGAAGGCAGGGGAAGGCAGGGGAAGGCAGGGGAAGGCAGGGGAAAGCAGGGCAAGGCAAGGCAAGAGAAGGGAAGGGAAGGGAAGGGAAGGGAAGGGAAGGGAAGGGAAGGGACAACAAAGTACTTTAAAATATTTTCTGATTTTCAGTATTATGGATAGCAAAAATCTCCTAATGAGAAATTTGAAAAGTGACTGCAGATATTTTTTCATTAACTGCTAGTGGCAATGAACCTGGTAATGAAAACTAAAATGTCACCTGGTATGTCCAGTAGATTTCTCAGATGAAATGTTCATTCACATTCTTCTGCCTTTTGTCAGAGCTGTATAATGAGATGGATACACCTTAGATATAGGAAGAACAGATTTGCAGCCAAATCCAAAAAGAATGTGAGCACAAAGTCTGCCTAAATCCTGTTCTTGGCATCTAAGCAAACAGAGGCCCTTAGCTCAGGTAAGGCCTGCCCTGGCTCCTTAAGGTGGGCTGCACTCCCTCAGTGTGGCCATCACAGCCTTTCAGATACTGCTGCTATAGTAGAATTCAGTGATAATAGGACAGGCTAAATCTTTAGCAAGTGTTCACAAGGCAGTGTTCTCCTCATTCACAAAAAAAAACAGCCTTTACAGTGTTGTTCCAAAAGAACTCTGGCAGCTTTTAAGTGAGAGGTTCTTATTTCTTTTTTCATTCTTTTTAATTGAGAGCTACTTTAGCTTATAATTCCATAGGGGTGTAAAACACGGACAGCTGATTCTTGTGTACTGTATGCTGAACAGTTATTTTCCATGATGCATTACAGACACATTTCATGTCCTTATGTATTTGCTAAAAGTGATAGAATCATAGAACAGCTTGGGATGGAAAAGACCTCAGAGATCACCCAGTTCCAACCCCCTGCCATGGGCAGGGCTGCCCAAACCACCTCATGCTGCCCAGGGCCCCATCCAGCCTGGCTTTGAATGCCTCCAGAAACAGGGCACCCACAGCTGCTCTGGACAGTCTGTGACAGTGCCTCACCACCCTCTGAGTGGAACATTTCCTTGTAATATCTAACCTAAATCAACCCTCTTTTAGTTCAAGGCATTTTCCCTTGTTCTATCACTATCGCACCATATTAAAAGTTGGTCTCTCTCCTGTTAAGCTCCTCTCCTTATATGCTCCTTTTAAGTTCTGGAAAGCCACTATGAAGTCTCCCCATATCCTTCTCTTCTCCAGAGTGAACAACTCGAGCTCTGTCAGCCTTTCTTAATAAGAAACATCTAATCATCTTTATGGCCCTCCTCTAATCATCTTTATAGCCCTCCTCTGAACCCACTTCAATTAGAGTTTTACAGTTCATCCCACCATGTTTCTGTGATAACAGTTAGATCATAGTTTTCTAATTGCAGCATGGTTTCCAGCTCCTTCTGCTTATTTCCATTCATTGGTGTAAAGGCACTTCAGCTGGGCTGTTGACCGTCCTGGAGGAGTGTTCTCAAATTCCTTGAGACACATCCGAGCTTTTTGCCTGCTGCTTTTTAAAGTGACAGCATTCCTAGTCACATAGAAGTTGATTCCCTTCTCCCATTAAATCTAGTTTAAAGTTCTGGTGATCAGCCCAGTCAGCTTGCTACCTGAAGTAAATACCAAACCAAACCAAAACAAAATATATACAAAATGAGGGTGTAATCCTATACACAGCATTTTTAATTGTGTGCTCAGCTCCCATGTTGACAAAAAGAGAAAAGAAGAGAAAGATATGTTAGCTTACATTATTGTTAGCTGTAAGCTGGATACACTTCAGAAGT